TTGATCTTTCTGTGTGTTTATTGTTGCCTTTTATATGTGTGTGTGTGTGTGTGTGTGTGTGTGTGTGTGTATATACACATAAAATTCAACGTGTGTTTTTCTATAGAAAAAGTAAAAGATCAGGTTATACTTTTGGGTAGAGGCTTCTTTTATTCTTGTTAGTAAATAAAATTAACAAATTTCTTTGTTTAACAAGAGTTAATCTTTAAACCACTCAGATACACAGACTGTGTACTATTGATTTTTCAACGCGCCGAGATTGCTATCGGTCAGTTTCCCGAAGTGTTGAGTTACCACCGAGTGAATAGAATGACTTCATTTGTGGAGATGCTGAAAACAGACCTACCTAAATGCAATCACCATCCTGCCCCTGCCGTGCCGGAAAGCCAGGCCGTCCAGGGGTTCTGCCTGCTCTGGTGTGCAGAGGTGGGGGTAGCGAGTCAGTTCTCGGGGAAGTAATTTTCCACATTACTTATATATTAAAGCAGATGTCATGAGTACGGTGCAAATTAATTTTTAAGATAAAACATAGACCTTGGAAGAAGTTTTATGCCTGTGACAGCGATGGGGCACTGGGGCCCCGGGGGCCTGTGGCACCCTTCGCCTCTGGGTCGCTGGTCCACGTGGCTTGTGAAGAATGCCTGCAGGGCTCGGATCTGAAAGCTTTACCCCCCATGCTTTCCTTTTAGCCGGGCTTGGTACAGCCTGGCCCAGTAGTGCTCAAAATCTAGTGGGCTGACATTTCAGTGCAAGTTCTTAAATACACTGCTGCATTTTAGAGAACAGTGAGGATACATTGTACTCAAGGTCTTCCTCCGCGTTTGTTTCTTTGTGAAAATAGGGACTGGGGCCAACAATTTTCAAAGCAGGTGCTTGAGTCAAGTATAAAGTTGGTTCACTTCAAAGCTCAAAACCTGTCAGACTTGTGGTTTGTATTGCAGGAGATCTTACGAGTCGTGCTTTAGAGAATGTCATTTTACCTCAAGTCCTACAGCCTAGGCCAATGTCGTAAGTTCAAAACGTCGTTTCCGAGTGTGCTCCCAAACTGTTACCTTTTTACCGTGTGTGTATGAGTGGACCCACTGTCACCTCTGCTTGGCAGACGCAGGAGACACCGCCCAGGTATTGCACACGCCAGACGAGAGCAAGTCTCCTCTCCAGAGCCAGAGCTGGTGCCTTACCAAGTCGTGCTCTTCAGTTTCCAAGCGGAAATGCCATTGAGTGGAATGTTGTACTTGAAATGCTCTAAATGAGATGGGATGAAATAAATTCTGACCTATGGATATAACTGCTCTTGATTTTTCTACCAGAGTTCTGTTGGAATGAGTGAGCATTCAGCCACACTCTGGGGCAGCGCGGGTCAGGATACATCGTGGTGTGGCCCCAGAGGATTTGGGGGAACATGTCCCCAGCCGATATATATATTTTACGTTCATTTATTTTCTGAGAGAACGGGAATGTCTCTATGCTCTGATCCTCCTGTGGGTGTGCCGGCATGTTCAGGTAGACCTGGGACTAGAACCCAGAGCCTTGCCTCCTGGTCTCCAGCATTGGGCGCAGTGTCCGTACTGCACGCCTACTGTGGTGGAGTCCCCAGCAGTATTAAGTGCTCATTCGCCACTAGTTCTCGTAAATGCTGGGGCATTTACGGATGGTGCCGTTCTGTGGGATGGTGGGCTTGCGTCCCATGTTGGGAGGAGCACCGTTCTCGAACCCAGAAATCCAGGCTCAGGGAAGCACTCGGGGTGGGGTGAAGCCGAGATGCAATCTGGGCCTCTGTCCTGTGTGAGCCCTGCTCTCCTCAGGCCTTGAGTCCTGAACGGTGCATGTTACCCAGGTTGCTTAGGTTAGAGTCGAAGAGCTGCACGCTCCCGGGAGGGGGTCAGAAGTCAAAGGCGCTGGGGCCCCGCCAGCTGTCCAACTGCAGACCAGCTTCCACATCCGGGGTAATAGCTTCCGGTTCCTAATGTCAGTCTTCTCGTTGTGCCCGGGGTGTGGCCTTACAGCGGGCACGCAGGGAATGCCGGCCTAGGCCAGAGCCATTCACAGGGCCAGGTACGCCTGCACCCACCCTCCGGCCTCGAGGTCATGTCGCAGTGAGGGGACCTGTCCACATCATCCCCTTGGTGCCGTGGAGACCAGGTCCAACTGTCCTGTGTAGCTGCCGGACATCCTGCGGTGGCAGTGAGCCACTGCCCGCCCCCCAGCATGGCCAGAGGTGCTGAAAGCTGGGAGCCACCCTGGCCAGGAGGGACTCGGAGATTCCACCTCCCCGGCCCTGACCCACCTCTGGTGTCCAGCCTGGACCTTCTCAGAACACACGACTGGGCACCCCCTCTCCGAAGGGTACCTGAGACAGCGAAAGGATGAGAAGGAAAGAAGATGAGGCAGGAGGGCGTGTTTGGCAGGACAGCGGGAGTGCAGGGCCGGGAGAGAGGAGACGTTTGGGTGAGGACCTCCGGAGGTGATGATGTTAGGTGGCCCCAGGGGGAGGGGCAGAGGAGCCGGGCAGTGGATGAGGCTACAGGGCATGGAGCCTTCTCTGGGTGCACCCCCTCTGCCTGCTGCAGGGGAAGTTCCTGACCTCGGAAGGGAAGAGGCCTGGCGCCTGCCCGGTGGATTGGTGAGCACCCGTGGGGTTAGGGCTGGGCCAGGCCGGTGCGCAGTAGCACTCCATGCAGACGAATACCACTCGAATGCCACTCGCTGGTCTTCCAGGAGGCCAGTCCTTGACTCCTTGTTTCCAGACAGTGGACGCCCTGTCCAGCACCGAGGATGGGCTTGGCTCACAGTGGCTTCCACCCGCACCTGTTTCCAGTTGTCCGAGGCTTACGCCTCCCGCAGGCAAGGGCTCATTTGGGTCCTCATTCCCGCTCAGTTTTCCAAGGCCAGAACACCCACAGCGGTCAGTGTGGTAGCCACACAGGTGGCTCAGTGGACAAAGCTGCTGCTGACCCATGAGTCATGGGGCCCAGGCCACCCTGGAAACTGCAGGGGGTGAGGGTGGCCCCCAAAGGCAGCTGAGTCAGCGGGCAGTGCCACGGGGCAGAGCACGGAAGCGAGGGACGCTGCCCCCACCCTCCACGGGCGTGCCCTGACTCCATCAGGCTGGCTCTCGGTCCCCGAGCGCATTCCCACGTTTCCCGCAGCCGCTGCCTTCCCGGGCCTTCCCCCCAGCTCCCCCGGCATCGAGCACCACGCGCAGTCCTGCGCAGAACCCGTATTGCTACCCAGCCTGCAGAGGAAACGTGTGTGGTGGGGACCCCATATTTGTCTCTAAGAAAAGGGCATCTTGAACAGAATACCTGCTTCCCTTAGGTCCTCTGCCACTGGGGCCCCAGGTACTTCTGACTTAACCCATGGCTTTCGCTTCTTCACCACGGCTGTAACTGCAAACGCAGTGACTTCTTCAGACAACGGAGTTGGTACCCTACGGTTCTGGAGATGAGCCCGCACGGGTCTTGCCGGGCTAAGATTGAGGTGTGTCAGCCTGCACTGCTCTCCAAGGCTCGGAGAGACAGTCGTTTTCGCCTTTTCCAGTTTCTAAAGCCCGATACACTCACGATCTCTTCCACCTGCAAAGCCAACCCCGGAGGTCAGGTGCATGCCACCCGGGGTCGGCCTGGTACTCTCCTCCTCTGCCACACAGGGGGAGCCTTGTCATGTCGGGCCCTCCGGATGACCCGTGGTCACCTCCGAATCCCTCCTGCCATGAAACCCACACAGTCACAAGCCCAGGGCCGAGGATGTGGCCCCTTGGGGGGTCGTTATGCTGACCACGCTCTGCCCTCTGCCCGCCAACTGGACAGTGCCCTCTGCTCTCACGGCCCAGGGGGCCCCTGCTCGCCGGCCCTTCCTTGTCTGGCTCCTACCTTTGCTTGCTGGTGCCGGGGAGAGCTTTCATGCCGCCGTAAGAGCAAGACAAAACTCGAGCCCAGTGAAATCCTAGGTGCTTATGTGTACATGTGTGTTTGTGACAACATGAACGTTTGCACGTGTGTTTGCATGTACACGTGCTTGTGTGAATGTGCATGTGTTTCTGGGCATGTTTCCATGCATGATTATGTGTTCATGCCTGTGATTGTGTGTGCAATTATGTTTGTGTCTCTGTATGTGCTTTTGTGCATTTGTGCATATATGTCTGTACATGTATTTTTTCCTATTGCCACTGTAACAAATTACTGCAAACCAAACTTAGTGGTTTAAAGCAACACAGGTTTGGGACCAGCAGTTGGAGTAATGGCTATGTCTCTGGACTCCCAGTAATGGACCACACTTTTGTCCCGGACCCGGTGGCTTAAACTCACGCCAGGCACATGTGCGTGTGTGCCCAAGATCCTGAGAGGAGAATGGAGGAGAAGGGATTGCAGCGTGGCCATCCCCCCGGGGGATGATTTCTCGCTTTCTGTCTCTCTGTCTCTCTCTGTCTTTCTGGCAAGCGCACACGCCCTATAGCAAAAGCCTCTCCAAAGAAATAAAGCGACTCAGGTTTACCACTTGTGGTTC